GTCGGGGGAAAAAGTCCCAGCCCATCCAGCCTTTCCTTATAACTCCAACTTTCCATACCTGCAACATACTAGTAAATTTCTTCTCAAACCTCTCCAGCTTGGTAATATCCTTCCTATAACTGGGCGACCCCCAGAATTGGACATATTATTCCAGAAGAGGCCTCACTAATGTCCTGTACACCATCAACATGACTATGCTAAAAGGACCGAGCAATGAAGGCAAGTGTGCCGAAAGCCTTTTTAACCAACATGTCTATATGTGACGCAAACATCAAAGAATTATCTACCGCGTACCCCTAGGTCCCTCTGTTCTCCAACACTACCCAAGCCCCTACCATTAATTGTATAAGCCCTACCCTTGTTTGTTGTACCAAAATGCAATGCCTCGCATTTATCCAGATTGGACTCTATCTGCCATTTTTCAGCCCATTTGACCCACTTGATCAAGATCCGTTTGTAATCTTAGCAAACCTTCTTCACTGTTTACTATGCCACCAATTTTGGTGTCATCCGCAAACTTACTAACCATGCCTTCCATATTCTCATCCAAATGATTTACATAAATGACGAACAAAAGAGGATCCAGAACCTATCCTGTGGAATACCGCTGGTGATAGGCCTCCAATCTGAAAAGCAGGCCTCCACCACCACTCTGTGTCCATCCGTTAAGCCAATAATGTATGCAGTTGGCAAGCTCACCCTGAATCCCATATGACCTAACTATACTAATTAATCTGCCATGTTGTGTAGATCCACAGTAACAGTCTAACCTCTACAATGTTGTTTTTGCTACTGTATTGTTTATTCACAAGGAGGAGAGAATTGCAGTAAATGAGAAGTCCTCTTTTTAAAAAATTTAACCTATTTTTCTAATCAAGCTATTTAGAGATATTAATACACACCTCTGGAGCAGATGGGACTTGAATCCAGACCCCTCAGTCCACGGGTAGGTACTCTAACTCTGCACCACAAGAGCCCCCACAATTAATCATCTTAAGGATCTGCGTAAAATGACTGCAGTTTTGCAGTACTGAGTTATTCTAAATGACAGTAAATTGGAATTGTGATAAGTGGATTAGGCCTGTTTCTCACCAATAGTCTGGTCACTTCTTAGAGTTGAATAAACAAATTGCCTGCCCTGAGCAATTCATTCAGGAGATTTAACATCTGTTCATTTAATTGGCCTTGTTAACCCTTTATTTGCCACTGGGGTTGTATTTATTATATATGTTGTTTAATTTGACTAATTATTTAGGAATCCAAGGTAAAATTGTTTTCAATATGTTATCCAAGATACATTCAAATCTTCTTACAGATAGCAAATGCTTCCAAAAGTATATAAAAGGTAAGAGTAGTTAAAGTGAATGTTGGTCCCTTGGCTGATAAGACTAGGGAGTTAATAGTGAGGAACACAAAAATGGTGACGATACTAAACCAATGTTTTGCCTCCGTTTCCGTGGTGGAGGACACTGTACCATCGCAATACTACTGCATATTGCAGAGATTATTGAAAAGGAGGAACTGAGAAAGTCATCATCACTAGTGAAAAAAGTACTAAGCAAACTATTGGGATAGAATCAGACCAGTCCTTACGGCCCACAACCTAGGCTCTTGAAGGATGTGGTAGCAGAGATAGTGGATCCATTGATTAAAAATATTCCAACATTCCAGGATGCTGGAAAAGTTTAAATGGACTTGAAAAATGTGTATATAACACCCTTTTTCAAAAAAGGGAGAGAGGCAGACGGTAGGAAACTATCCACCAGTTAGTTTAACATTCGTTGTAAAATTCGTTGTTAGAATCTATTATTAAAGGAGTAGTAACAGGACATGTGGCAAGTTAAAATGTAATCCATCAGAGTCAGCATTGTTGTATGAAGGGTGAGTTGTGTTTGACTTATTTACTAGAGTTTTTTAAAGATGTAACTGGCAAAGAAGATAATGGGGGTTCTGTTAGTGTAGTATAGCTGGACTTTCAGAAGACATTTGATAAGGTGCTATGCAAAAGATTAATGCACAAGGTAAGATCACATGGGATTGAGTGTAATATTAGCTGTATCCAAGCTTGATACTGGCTAACCAGAAAGCAGAGAGTTGGGCTAAATGGATCTATTTCTGGATGGCAGGATGTAACTAGGGGCTGCTGCTATTTACAAGCTATGTTAATGACTTGGATGCAGGGATTGAAGGTACTGTAGCCAAATTTGCGGATTATACTAACATTTGGGAAAGTAAGTTGTAGTGAAGAAATAAATCCATAAATGGATATGAATAAGTTAGGTAAATGGGCCAAAATTTGGCAGCTGGCATTTAACGTGGATAAATATAATGTTATCCATTTCGATCGGAAGTATAGAAAGGCAGTTTATTCTTTAAATGTAAAGAAACTTCACTGTGCTTCAGTGCAGAGGGGTCTGAATATCCTAGTGCATGAATCGCAGAAATCTAGGGTGCAGGTACAGCAGATAGTAAGGAGGGCAAGTTGAGTTTATTGCTGAAGGAATAGAGTATAAAAGTAGGCAAGCTTTTCTGCAACTGTACAAGGCATTAGTGAGACAACGTGGAGTATTTCATACAATTTGGATCCCCTCAATTGAGGAAAGATGTAGTAGCATTGGAGGCATTTCACATGGTGTTTACTCAATTGGTTCCAGGGATGAGGGGTTTGCCTTATGTAGAGACTGAACCATTTAGGCCTATATTCTCTGGAGTTTAGAAGCATAAGAGGAAATCTAATTGAGGTATAAAAGATGTTAAAGGGCATGGGTGAAGTAAATGTAGAAAGGAGGTTTCCTCATGCGGTAATCTAGAATGAGTGATAATAGTTTTAGAATATGGGGTAGCGGGCTTAAATCAGATGTGAAGGAACTAATTCTTTTAAAGGGTCATGAATCTGTGGAATTCAGTACTTCAGAGTACAGGGACTCAAACTTCAGGAGGAGACAGGTGTAATAGGTTGAAGAATTAAGGGGAGCAGGCAGGAAAGTGGAGTTGAGACCAAGATGAGATCAGCCATGATCATTGAGCAGGCTTGAGGAACTGAATTGTCTCCTCTAGTGCCTAGTTCTTATAGTCTAAAGTAGAATATTTGGTGGGACAGATTTACCTGAACTTAATTACGTTAGTTGCTGTATTAGTTTAGCATTTCGGGCAGCTATGAGCTGCTTAATCCTCTCACCAATGTGCTTAGCTTTATTTAAATATCATTTTTCCACTTTTAATAATTGATTTTGATTAATGGGATTACCTAATAATATTTGTGAAGTCCACAAAGCAAGATGTAAGTTTGCAATAGCCTGCATGCATCAAATTGCTTCAATTGTTACATAACAGGTACTATTCCCGATAGAAAAATTTATAAAATATCTTTGCAGCAACTTGGTGCCAATGAGAAGTCTTACAGTTATTTTGTGTTTGGGATGGTCACTCTGTAATTCTAAATGTGGTGATTCCAACTAACAAAAAAGTTGATTGCTGAGGTCTCTTTTTCTCCCAGACGACTTGAATTCTTTTACCTTCAGAAGGACCATTGCACTGTTCGAGGGTTAATTTGTTTCTAAATGTGCCCCATTTGAGATTGATGCTATGATAACAGTTGAATAGGCTTTGAATTAGCACAGTTTCTACCCAAATGCACACTTGTCTCCTATGGCATGCACCTTGTACGGACTTCAGGGGGTAAAAATGGTTAGTTTATAATGCAGGAAAGTTCTTATTACTGTCTTTTTGAAATAAGTGAGGTATAAAACAGGAAGTTGTTGGTCATTTAATCTTTCCTTCACTGCAGACAAACTGCACAAATCGTGAAGACAGAATGAGATTTATTGAGTACCTGAGAAAGACATGAGGCAGCTGGGGGCAGATGCTGTTCATGATTTAATCATGATTTCTAATATATTAGTCAGTGTAGCTTATTAAGAGTTTTGTATATTGATATTCTGTTTCTTTCTGTTGGGATGTGAACTAAGCAGATGACAAGACCAGCATTTCTTGTCCATTCCCAATTTCCCTTGAGCAAGTAGTGGTAAACTACCTTCTTGAGCTGCTGCATTCCATATAGTATTGGTAGGGAGAGAGACCCAGGACATGAATGGGATATAATCATCCAGTTAGACATAACTGGCCAAGTAAAGTAAATAAGTGATTTCTTAATAGTTGAATGTGACAGAGCCTGCCAAAGCACGATTCTGGGACCGCTTTAGTTTCCATTTATATAACTGGTTAGGACAGAACCATTGTGTCAAAGTTCGCAGATTAAAGACTTTGTAAACTGAAGATAAATGCAGATGATTTCAGGGGGCCATAATCAGGTTGATGGAATGGGCAGGTCAGTGCTGGGTGTAGTTCACAACATGTGAAATAGTGGAAAGGAAGTACACTTTGAAGAGTAGAACTCTTGATGAAAGAGTTCCAGGAATGATGAAATATTGTTGAAGATGGTACGTGATCGTAAAAAAACAAATAAGTTATTGATTGAATGTGCAAACAAAACAATGAAATGATGAATTTGTTCAAACATTAAGCTTTCATATTTCATGTGTGTCCATGTTTCCTCTTTGTATGGATGTGCCCTATCAAATTGTTGGAGAGGAGTCTGAGACTCTGGGAGCAGACTTGAGGTCTGTAACATTGTGTTGTGGAAGGGGCAAAATGATGTGCCCCATGCTGGGTTTGCGCTGCTGTGCTTTGCAGGGCAGTAGGAGTTCTGCTCCTGTCCTATGGAATCTCTCACAATGAAATATATAAATAAAAATCCCTTGCCATTGATTTACATAGATTTCCAGATCCTGACAGGTTAGACCTTGATGTCTTAGTTTCAGATTTATTCACTGATATTTAATGGATTCAGTAAGGCAAAACAGCCAATAAATAACAAGTAGTACTTAGCAGACTGTGCTTCAGTGCTGAATATCGCATGTTGTATTTTGCAGTGTTGCAATAAGTGGTTGCCTGTGATTTAATATTGTTGAAATATTCTTGGATGCTAATTGCAGCAAATAATGACACTGGCAATCTGTTTTTTAATTTCTTGCTTTTTGCAGTACTTCACAGGCTTAGAGTGTGGTCACAAATTCTGTATGCAGTGCTGGAATGAATACTTAACTACAAAGATCATAGAAGAAGGTATGGGACAGGTATGTATTTATGTCATATTTGTCTCATTTACATTGATTAGAACTGAATGTTTTGAATTTCACTGCATTAGCAGCATCATTTGTTTTGATTTTTTTTTTGTTGCAGACTATATCATGCCCAGCTCATGGCTGTGATATCCTGGTTGATGACAACACAGTTATGTGAGTATTTTTTTAATAGCAAATAACTATTTCCATTTCCGTTTAAATAAACGGTTCAGGAAAAGGTCACTAAAGAATCTAACTCGGGGTGAATGGCTGGAACTGCAGGGAAGTGGAATGGTGTAAAGTTTTTGTGCTCAATTCACTTGCCCAAGGCACCAAACCATGTAGTTCTAGGTACTATTCATCTAAATTTAGATCATGCCTGGAAAAACTACTTAGTGTGCAAGTGGGAAATGATAGTTGTAGTTGTGTTATTCAAGTTAAAAGAATATTAAGCAGTAGTAGCTTAGTATTAATTTTCATGTTTTAGTGTCAGTACAGTAAACAGAGGGATAACAATAAGTACAGTTGCCATGGTCATAAACCAGTGGGAATATAGCTACCGATTCTTATAATTAGAGTTCGCTGTAAAGACTGTGTTCTCCAGAAGGGTGGGTGAGGATGTCGTGAGGTTGGTCATCTTTCGGTAAAATGTAAAGACTAGTGATTTCAATCTACCTTTTTGCTCCCATAATTTGTTTTTATCATTCTTTTAACTTGGTGCATGCTGCCAAATACCTCTCATTGAAATATTATTTAACTTCATTGCTAATTTGTGTAACCTTTTTGTTAATAAGCAAAAGAGCTTGGAAATACATAGTGCCTTTCATGACCTCGGGATAATGTAAAATGGTTTAAAGGCTAATGAAGCATAGTCCCTGTTGTAATGTAGGAATCCTGTCAGCCAACTTGTGTCCAGCAAGCTACCAAAAACAGTGACATTTTACACAGCTTTTCTGTTTCTGTCATATTGGTTCAGGGGTAAATATTGACTTTTTGAAACCAGGGAAAACTCGTGGAAGTAGGATATTAGACAGCTCCTCCACTGTCACTCCTCCTACAGTGCTGCTGGCTGAGTGTCAGCATGGATAATGTGATGGAAGGCATTGCTGCTATCAAAGTTGTCTCTCGTCTATTTAGTTTGATTTGATTATGTTTGCACTTATATGAATTATAAACGTTAACTTCGTCTGTTCACATTTGCCACAGCTCATGCTAATCTGTTCCTGTTGCCACATCAGAGCCTGGTACTTGTGGCTTTGACTTCATTGTAAGAACTAAATGCACTTTAAGCTGACACTTTAGGGCAGCAGTGAGGATTTTGAGTTGTCAGTGGTTCCATCTCTCTTTGGGAGATGGAAACTTGAACCCGTTTGTCAGCGTGAGTACACAAACTCCCTCTGAAGAAAAGTGTGTTCTCCTACTTTTGGTCTTTAGCACCAAAAGAGTCACGTTTTGAGGTCACCAGTGTTTAAGACTTTGTTGTGTTACTTTTATTTGTGATGTAATGAAAGCAGTTTGTATATTTGGAGGTGTTTCAAAGCCATGGTAGGCTGCTATATATAAGTGCTTCAGTCCTTGGAAGTAGAGCCCAGACGTTTGTACAGTCCTTGAGTGACAGCCAGTCAGCTGAATTTGTGTAACTTTGTCAAATATCTTTATTCCATACTTCATGAGGGCAGCAACCTTACTGTCTATGTAGTGTATTAAATTGCTTCCGTAGTTATTTGCGGTTTGTAGGAATTTATATTCATTCAAGTACTGCATTGGCTATTTTAAGCTGTTTATGTGCTTGTGCACAGTATAAATAGTTACTGGGAAATTACTTTCATACGATGACATCCAGGTCTTAGCACCCAGTGATTTTTTGATGCGCATCTTAATGACGACAAGTGAAGCCATGTCATGCACAAACAAGCAGACTGTCTCATTAATTGCTAGAAATTTTCTTTTACAAATGGAACTATGGATTTTCTTGATATTTTTGTGTGGTGACTATTTTGTAGGTGAGAATGCAAGGGTTAGGATGAAATCCTTCCCATTTTTGTACAATAACTGTCAATTCACTAAGGAATTAAATTTTGCTGACATTGAACTCTACAGCAGCAGCTTTGAACCAAACAATACTGAGATTAATGCATTCTACTTTTTGACAAACCATACTGCATGCTTTGTTCCTCGTTCACGTTGGCCACTTCCCACACCATCTTGGATTTACTTAGCATGCCTTTCCCTTTGTTTCGTTAATGAAAGCAAAGTGCAAATGCAGGAGATCTGAAATAGAAAGTGATGGGGAAACTGACATCATTGGTGGAGAGAGAGAGAAACAGTTAATATTTTGAATTCAACGTAACACTTTCTCGGAACTGAAGGTGGCTGGAAAATTATGTATTTATGCTGTTGACGAAGGGGAGGGTGGCAAGTAGAACAGATGATGAGGGTGCCTAGAGCAAAAGACAAAGGGAGTTCTAATGGTAGTGCAGGAGAGATATTGATGCTGAATATATGTTTATAGTGGAAAATAAGTTGGGTCTGCTGGGAGCAAATCCAGACAAACGAGAGACCTTTTGGGATGAGGTCTAATTAAAATGGAGGACAATGTTCATGGTAGGAAGTTTGTGGAACAAGATGCTGAATCCTGAAGGCTGTCATTGCCTAAGCACAAAATGAGGTACTATTCCTCCAACATGTGTTGGGTCCCTGGAGCACTGCATTGGGCCTGGAACAGAAATGTTAGCATGATTCTTTAACAGATTGTGTAGTTTCTGAAAAGCATTTATCAAAATGAATCTGGTATTTGCAGTTAGAAAGACGTTTGCTATAGGAATACAACAGCAGTCAAGACTAAATCTTATAAGACTGCAAAACTAGAAACATTTGTACCTGAATGTAATTAGCATTTAAACTGACAGACAGCACATATTGAAGTAAATGAACACTACCTTACAGCCTTTTTGGAGAGACAAGGTTTCAGGCTGACCAGAATTGGGTCCTGAGTACTGAGGTGTATATGTCATTCAAGTGCAACAGGAAGTTAACTAAAGTGGAGGGGGAGCACTGCTAATCAAAGATGGCATTGGTACATTAGGAACACAGCAGCAGGCGTAGGCCATTCAGTCCCTTGAGCGTGCTGTGCAATTCTACATCATGGCTGATCATGTACCTCAATGCCTGCACCATGCCTGTATCCCTTGATATTAGCGACGAGAGATCTGTCAATCTCTATGTTGAATTTAGTGAGTTACAGCCGAATAGAGAATTCCAGAGATTGATCACCCTATAAATGAACTTCTGGAATACTGCATACAATTCTGGTTGCCCTTCAATGGAAAGGTGTTGTTAAACTTGAGAGGGTGCAGCAAAGATGCACAAGGATTTTGCCAGGATTGGAGAGTTTGTGTTGTAGGGAGAAGCTGACTAGGCTGGGCTATTTTCCCTGGCCTGTCAGAAGCTAAGGGGTGACCTTAGAGGTTTGTAAAATCAAGAGGCATGGATAGGGTGAATAGCCAAGGCTTTTCCCTAGTGGAGGAGTCCAAAGCATAGGTTTAAGATGAGAAGGGAAAGATTTAAAAAGGACCTGAGGGGTAACTTTTCATTCAGAGGGTATTTTTTCATGTAGAGGGTGGCGCGTGTACAGAACGAGCTGCCAGAGACAGTGGGTTATACCAAAGATAGTAAGAACTGCTGACGCTGGAGTCAGAGATAACAGTGTGAAGCTGCAGGAACACAGCAGGCCAGGCAGCATCAGAGGAGCAGGAAAGCTGACGTTTCGGGTCAGGACCTTTCTTCAGATATGGAGGAGGGGGAAGGGAGCTCAATAAATAGAGGGGTGAGGCTGGGGAATGTAGTTGGGATGGTGATAGGTGAGTGCAGGTAGGCAGTGGTGGGGATTGGTCAGTGAGGTGGGAGGAACGGATAGGTGGGAGAGATGATGGACAGGTTGTGTCAGGTCAAGGAGGCGGGGATGAGAGGGAGGGTTGGTCATGGGATAAGACCGGGGGTGGGGAATCCACCTCCTTGACCTGACGCAACCTGTCCATCTTCTCTCCTGCCTATTCGCTCCTCCCACCTCACTGATCAATCCCCACCACTGCCTGCCTGCACTCGCCTATCACCATCCCACCTACCTTCCCCAGTCCACCCCTCCTCTCTCTTTATATTTCAGAACTCCCTACCCCCTCCCCCACTTCTCGAGGGTCCCAACCTGAAACATCATCTTTCCTGCTCCTCTGATGCTGCCTGGCCTGCTGTGTTCCTCCAGCTCCACACTGTGTTATATTAGGGTTAGACCAAAGGGTCTGTTTCAATGCTGTACAACTCTATGACTATGACAAGGTTCTCCTCATTTCAGTCCTAAATGGCTTGTCTTTTATTATGAGTTTAGTTCTAAATCCAATAGTTAGGGGAAGCTTTGTTTCTGCATGTAGCTTGTCTATCCCTTTAAGAATTGTATAAAATTTTTGATATGTTAAATTTTTGTATGATCACCTCTCATTCTCCTGAACCTGAGAATACAGGTTCAGTCTCCTGATGGGGCAGACCAACCATTCCAGGAATCAATCTGGTGAACCTCTCCTGCACTCCTTCTAGGGAAAGTATATCCTTCCTTACAAACTTTACTCCTGTGATCATTCTATTGTGATAAAGGCTGACACACTGTTTGCCTTTTGAATGCTTGCTGCATTTGCATGCTAGTTTTCAATGACTTGTGAACTAGGACACCAAGACTCCTTTGGATTCCTGAGGTAGTTGCAACATTTAAAAGATGTTTGGACAGGTACGTGAACAGGAGTGATTTAGAGGGATGTGGGCCAAATGCAGGAAATGGGACTAGTTTAGTTTGGGAAAATTGGTTGGCATGGACGAGTTGGGCCAAAAGGTTTGTTTCCATGGTGTATTACTCTGACTCTCTTGACTTTCTAAGCTCTCACCGTTGAAGAAATCCGTCAGAACTCAGCTCACTTTAGGGAAGAGCAGGCATTATATTAATGAAATTATGCATTAGTTATGATCAGGTCAAAATTCCATTTATATTGTGTGGAAGAGTGCTTGATAAACATGGAAAAGAAGGGAATGCAGCTAGGGCAGGAGTAAGCTCTGGTGGAACCTAAACACTGGCTGAACCAATTGGATCAAGTGAGCTGTTTCGCTGCTGGAAACTCTTCACAGTTTTAAATTGTTCCTGGAATATGAGCATCCCTGAGAGGGCATTTATTGCCAATCACTTTTTAAAATATATTCATTGGATGTGGCCTTCATTAGTTGAGCGAGTGTTTATTGACCATCCTGAATTATGCTTGAGAGGTGATGTGCTGCCTTCATGAACGGCTGCACTCTGTTTCATGTAGGTAGACCCACAATGCCATTAGGGAGGGAATTCCAGTATTTTGACCCAGCCACACTGAAGAAATGACGACTGTATTTCCAAGTCAGGTAGTGAGTGACTTGGAGGGGAACTTGCAGCTGATGGTGTTCTCGTGTATCTGCTGCCCCTGCGTTTCTAGATGGTAGGGGTCACGAAGGTGTTGTCTAAGGAGCCTTGGTGAATTTCTGCACAGCATGTTGTGGATGATGTATATGCTGCTGTTGCAGTGTTGTTGATGGAGAGAGTGCTGTTTTGTGGATGGAAGCCAATGAAGAAGGCTTCTTTGTCCTTGATGGTATCAAGCTTCTTGAATTGTTGGAGCTGCGCTCGTCCATGCAAGTGGGGAGTATTCCATTACACTCCTGACTTCAGTCTTGTATGTGCTGGACAGGTTTTGGAGTCAGGTTAGTTGCATACTGCAAGATTCTTAGCCTTGGACTTATTCTTGTAGCCACAATATTTATCTGACTGGTCTGTGGTAGCCCCCAGGGTGCTAATTGTAGGGGATTCAGCCATGGTAATGTAATTGATTGTCAAGTGGTGTCAGTGACATTGTCTCATTTGAGTTGGTCATTGTCTGGTACTTGAGTGGTGCAAATGAATATTTGCTCTTGCAACAGCTCACGGCCATGTTTGCAAGCCGTCTGGTATAGGCACATCCACAGTGCTGTTGTGGAGAGAGTTTTTGATCCAGTGACTAGGGGAATGGCATTATTGTTCTGTATCAGGACGGTCTTTGGCTTAGAGGAGCACTTTCATTCGGTGTTCCCTGGTGCCTGTGCCATTATCCTTCTGGGTAGCAGAGGTCGTAGATCTGAAATGTGCTTTCAAAGTCTGTGATTGTCTGAGAACAAAACAGAAGGGAATAATGACTGAAATACATCCATCTCCTTGAAATGTTTTCCTCTACCCAGTGCTGCTTTTCTCTGCTGGATAAACTTAATGGCTTTTTCCTAGTGGTTTTATCGCTGGATTATTAATCCAGAGTCTCCGATAATGCTCTGGGGACCCGGGTTCAAATCCTGCCACAGCAGATAGTAGAATTTGAATTTAATAAATATCTGGAATTAAGAGTGTAATGATGACTGTGAATCCATTGTCAATTGTTGGAAAAACCCATCTGGTTCACTAATGTCCTTTAGGGAAGGAAACTGCCATCCTTACCTGGTCTGGCCGACATGTGAATCCAGACCCACAGCAATGTGGTTGACTCTGAACTGCCCTCTGGACAATTAGGGATAGGCAATAAATTCTGCCTGGCCAGTGATGCCCTCATCCCGTGAATGAATAAATGTGCTTCCTGAGCTTGTCCTGCATCAGTGTACCATTTCCAACCAGGGGTTTAATACCAACCTGCATATCAAGCTTCCTTGAGGCAAAGTAATGTTGCGCTTTGGCAGCATTTAATGTTTGGATGGACTGTTGCGAATTCTCTCCTGCAGCAGTGATACTATGATGAGCTTCAAAAGAGTGAATGACCATTTGTCATTCTGGAATGATTAACACAGAATCCCAGAACTTGCAATGCAGAAATCAGGCCATTTGGTCTAACTGAGCCATAGCAGTGTTTATGCTACATATCAACATTCTCTAACACTTGCAATTCCTGTAGTTTGTAACTGGTTTAGAAAGTGAGGTTGAGCAACTGGCTTCTGATTGATCTGAGTTCGTTGCACTTGATGTGTATACAAGCTGACAGACATCTCATTTCAGAATGTTCTATTTACACAACATTCCTGTTAAATGACAGCCATGGTGAAGTGCATTTACTTTGTATTTTGTGTTTTACTTCTGATGACATATCTGCAAGCTCTGTTTATTTCTGGAGAAGTGGGGTCATGTTTTGAAGTTGAATGAACTCTTGTCCCTTTTAATTGCACATTATTCAGGCTGAAGGTGGGATTCCATTTGTACTGCATTTGTAATGACAAATCCAGTAAGGCATATTGCATTTGCACTGCGTTGTTCACATCCTAACGTGCGACTAGTCTCACTTTTATCACCCAAGTATTAGAGCCCTCACTATTTAATATTAAAATACATAGGCATTTGCTTTCCATCCATATTTGGCGATCATTGTGACACCTTCAATACACGTCTGAAGAGCATTTAGTTTATCTAAAGCTGTGTAAGGAAGAAAAATGCTTATACCTCCTCATTGCAATATCTGCCTGCAAAATATCTATCCCCCATAGAAAGACAATTCATTTGTCCACTTATTAGTAACCACACTGCAAAGAATTTTTTGCTTAAGAACGTATAAAAGCTCACCTTGTCTGATCACAAGGACACTCTCTCTTTCTATACTTTCTCCTTCTCCTTGCCTCCCTGACCCGCCACTACCACAGTCATTGAGCTAGGAAATCAGTAACATTGCATACTGTGGTTGTATTACATTGTTTCCACTATGAAATGGCTACTTTCTCCTTCTCGTGTGTTAGCTTAATTAAGAAATATGTCTATTTTCTCTAGGCGTTTGATCACAGATTCCAAAGTCAAGTTGAAGTACCAGCATTTAATAACCAACAGTTTTGTAGAGGTAATGTTTTCTTCGATTCGAATCGAACAGTGTGTGTGGAACTGCAATTGATAGTTGTAAAAATGGAACTGTGGTGTAAAGGTGTGCATTTCAATGTGTTGGCTGGCAAACTGGTGAAATAGAAATTCAAAAAGTTTTTCTAGATAAATTTAATCTGGATTTTAAATTGTTTTGCAAAATGGCAGTAGCTGGAGCTTTGCAATACTAAGGAGGTCTCACTGATTATGTATGTATCATAGTTTGAGCAAGTAGAATGTCATTGGATAATGACTGGCTCTGACTGGAACATGTCTCTGTTGTGCCATCTTCTCATCACTGTGCCTGTTCTTTTTGACTGAGACACCAACAGTTGTGCTTTTCCATCACAGTGCAATCGACTGTTAAAATGGTGCCCTGCTCCTGACTGTCACCATGTTATTAAAGTCCAGTATCCTGATGCAAAACCAGTTCGCTGTAAGTGTGGGCGGCAGTTCTGGTAAGTGTGCATAGCACACATTTCTACCTAAGTGTTACTGGGTGTGTTTAACTATCTGAACTGAGTCACACAAATATTAAGTAGCTTTTGTTTAATTTACAGCTTCAACTGTGCTGAGAATTGGCATGATCCTGTTAAATGCAAGGTGAGAAACTGCTGCATGTGATTCCATCAATAAATTTTCAAAATCAGCATACTTCAGTAAAAGTGAAATAAAACCGGTGTTGAAGAAACAGAATCTTCCACATAATCCTATCTAGAAAGAAGCAGAGCTGGGGGGCAGGGTGTGCTGTGTTCAGGCCACAAGCAGCATAGGATTCATGATTTCTCTCCCCTACCCCACAGGCCCTGCAGGTTACAAATGACTGATTGATTGTGCTGATGCAAGATCTGTGTTGTAACAACAGCAGCCTTGTGAAATATATCAAAAAGATCCAAAATGAAAATAAGGTGATACAAGATCGGGATAGAGATTTGTAAATCAGGTCCATTGTGCGGTTGAAAACAATTGGACCTACCTGTGTAGGTGTAGCAGAGAGAATAGATGAGTTAATATCCACTGAACATTGACAGGGCAACCTATTTGAGGCATATTGATTTTCTGTAGAAGTATATGACATACTGTGAACAGGAGAAGCTACAATACATTTGCAGGTGCTACAGCCAATATCGAGTTCCCATGGGCTGGCTTTTGCCAAGTGTCACATGGAGCCCAGGGCTTCCAGTGCAGACAGAAAAATCACCCTGAGATACTACAATAACTAAATCCTTCATAGCACTGGCAGAGTCTAGGGAATAAGTGGTTTTGTCTGGCAGGATGATGAGAACAAAGACTGATGTGTGGAAATTTAAGAAATGTCTCAAATAATTTGCCCTGAATGCTAGTTGCTTGGGGTGTACTGATCTCCATTTTAGCTTAAGCATTTCCAAAATGATCTGCACTTGTATTTGTAGGTGAGCAGCCTCTGTTGTAGCTAATAACTGCAGAGATTACACAATGTTTTCTTCTCCTTTGTAGTGGTTGAAGAAGTGGATTAAGAAGTGTGATGATGACAGTGAAACTTCCAATTGGATTGCAGCAAACACTAAGGTAGACCAGAAACCTCCAGGGACTTGGCACCATATACAGTTGGATGACTGACGTGCCAGAACGTTGCTGCAGAATTACAGAGAAGCTCTCTCTTACTATTTGTATTCACCCCCAAGAGATTGACATTGCCACAAGCTGCATTTTGGAAGTATTTTCATCTGTTCTTATTTTCAGGCTTCTGTCCTTGGAGATATTGTGTGTCTTCCATAGAAATTCCTTGTGTGCTCTCTCACAGCTAATAAACAATGTTCACATTTATCTTTAGTATGAAGTTAATTAGATCAGTGTTACAAAGCCGTGAAAAAAAGTAGCCTTATTCATACAGTTAAGGACAAAAGGCACACTGATGGTCTCCATCTCTGTGTTTCCTGTGTTCTGTCTGCCTGACACCTCTACTGTATTCTTTCATATGATCCAATAACCTTTCATATGATCCAATAACTAGTTTGCACAAGAGATCAGGTTATTTGCTGTATGTGTCTTTGGTGGGAGGCAGCTGTGTGTACTAAGTTCTCACGTCTAGTACTAAATTATTGTGACTTCTGGTGAGTTGGGCAGCGCTCCACAGGATAATGACAGAAAACATGATGGATTAAGCAGCAATTGAAAGGCATGTTTTCACAGGCTCCACAAGGCTGTCCAGATACCTGCAACTGTGTCAGCCTTCAGCAATGGCAGGATCAAAGAGTAATTGAGTTTAGGAGAGGGATTACAGGGGTTGCTGGAGCTCGACTTAAGGCCATTCCAGGACCACTTCCGCCTAACAGAGCCAAAAGAAACTTGTTTTAATAGTAACTGATTCTCATTTTCACAGTAAAAGATAACATTATACAGTTGTAGTTTGTTCAGATTTAATTCAATGTGTATTTGGGCATGAGCTCAGTGAACACTAGATTCACTTCTGAAAGTGATTACTTAAAATAAACTTATAACTAAATAGATATTACAACATGGAAGCTAGTCATTCATCTCAACCAGTTGGTGTTTTTCACATCTGCAATAATGTTAATTCTAGGGCTGACTTTCACACCGTATCCCTTCATTCTGTTTCAACCACACATCAAGCATATTAAATGTTGACACGGTCTTTTTTTTTCAGTCTCTAACACTTGGTAGACCATTACAGTCTCTCAACTCTGAGAGGGAGAACTGTTTTTCTGCCCCCTTTCCATAATCTCTTGTGTTTAATCTTGCATATGTGATCCCTTTTCCTGGAACCCTTGATCACTGTGAACAGTCCGTTTCTACATCTCGTCCCCATCATTTTGTAATGCTGAGCACCTTTTCATATTGCTCCTAATTTCCTCTGTTCTAATGACAACTGCAAGTTATTTGTCCATCTTTGTCTGTCTTGGATGAGACAGAATACTAGTGAATCTGTGCTGTTTTTTAAATATCCTTCCTATAATGTGGATTCTAAAACTACACAGTGTTCCAAACGTGACGTTTCTGAAGTTTTATGTATGTTGGTACGTTTTGACTTTTTGATTCTGCACCCCTTAAAACAAACTGTAATCTGTCGTCTTTCTTGTGGTTTATTCACTTGAGATGCTGTTTTTACTGCCTTATGAACCTGAACCCCTGATCCCCTTCCCATGTATTTCTAATGACTTGCTGTTTACTACTTAAACTTTGTGATCAAAGCCTTATATTTATTGAATCTATTCCATTTACCACATCTTTCCCCATTCCACGTTATCAGTAATCTTTTGCAGTTTCTTTTAGTCTTGAGAATTAATCATCAAGGCATCTAATTTCATTACCACCCTGTGAATTCGAGCCCATTGTTTGAAGTTATTGATCTATACAGTAAATAGAAAGATGACATAGCAAAACTAGTTTTGCAGGGGGAAGAAACCAGAGCAGTAAGTCAGCAAGTAAAATGACTAAGGAGTCTTAGACTAAGGCCAGTCAGATTAAGAGGAAGAACAGATGGGAAGAGGTTACTGGACCTAATGGGACTGGAGGTCTGAGGTGTATTTGTTTTAATATGAGGAGTATAACGGGCAAGGCAGATGAACTTCAAGCTTGAATTAATACACATAACTATGATGTTGTATATGTTAGAGAGACTTGGTTAAGAGAGTGACAAGATTGGCAGCTTAACGTTGAGATTTAGATGTTTCAATCATGAGAGAGGGGTATGTAAAAGAGCTGGGAGAGTTGCATTACTGATGGGGACGATATCACAGCTGAACTGAGGGAAGACACCTTGGAGGGCTTATACAGTGAGACCATACAGATAGAGAGCTCAGGATTAGGGAGGGCGCAGTCACTTTGGGATTGTACTTTAGGCCTTCCAACAGCCAGTAGGTGATAGAGAAACAGATTTGTGGACAGATTATGGAAAAGCAGCACCGTTGTGGGTGATTTTAACTTCTATATTGACTGGTTCTCCCCTACTGCCACAAGGCTTGGATTGGATGGATTTGTTAGGTGTGTTCAGGACTGGATTCTGAAACAACACATAAATAATCTAACTAGGCAAGGGGCTGTACTAGACTTGATGTTAGGAAATGAGCCCAGCCAGGTGATCAAAGTTTAAGTGGAGAAGCATTTCAGGAACAGTGACTATAATTCCATAAGTTTTAATTTACTTGTGGATAAAGATAAGAGTAGTCCTATGGTGAAAGTACTAAATGTGGGGAGTGCTAACTACCACAATGTTAGGTGGGAACTGAGGAATGTAGATTGGGGACAGCTGTTTGAGGGTAAATCCACATCTGGCATGTGGGACTCTTTCAAAGGCCAGTTGAATAGAGTTCAGGGCCAGCATGTTCCTGTGAAAATGAAGGATAAAGATAGCAAGAATTGGGAACCTTCAATAGCTAGAGAAATTGAAAGCTTAGTTAAAATGGGAAAAAAAAGAGGCATACATAAGGCTTGGAAAGACGGTCAGAGCTCTTGAAGAATGCAATAACAGCAAGAAAGAACTCAAGGGAGTTAGGAAGACTAAAAGGGGTCATGAAATTTCTTTGGCAAACAGGATTTAGAAAAATTCAAGATGTTTTATCCATATATAGGAGCAAGAGGGTAGTTAGGGAAAGGATAAATCCACCCAAGGACAAAAAGGGGAATGTATGTATTGAGCCAGAGGAAGTGAGAGAGGTCCCTAATGAATATTTTGCATTGGTATTCACAAAGGAGAAGGACATGATGGTTGGTCAGTCTTGCAAGGGGTATGTTGATATTCTAGGGCATGTCAGTATTTCAAACAAAAAGGTAGTGCTGGGTGTTTTAAGAAGCATTAAGGTAGACAAGTTCCCAGGACTTGATGGGATCTATCCCAGAATGCTGAGGGAGGCAGGTGAGGAAATTGCTGGAGTCTTGTACGAAATCTTTGTATCCTCTTTAGTCACAGGAGAGTTCCCAGAGGACTGGAGAATAGCCAGTATTGTTCCTTTTAAGAAGGGCATCAGGGATAATCTGCAAAATTACATATCACTGACCCTTATGTCAGTGATATGGAAATTAATGGAGAAGATTATGAAGACTAGGATTGACTCTCTCTTGGAAAAATATGGACATATTAGTGATAGTGAGCATGGCTATGTGTGGAGGATGTCATGTCTCTCAAGCTAAGGTAAGGCTGATGAACTCGGCATGTATGGTACTTGGGATTGGGGCATCATAGTTATTTACAGAAATTTGTCTGAGGGAAGGACAGGACTAGCAGCTCGATGTTCTGGGTTTTAGATGTTATAGGAAAGATAGAAAGAGACACAAAAGGAGGGGGAATGGCTTTTTTTTTAAGGAAAACATTATTACTGTAATTAGAGAAGATATTTGAGGGAAAATAGTGAAAATATATGGGTTGAAATTAGAAATAAGAAAGAGATGATTAACTTGATGCAATTGTACTGTACCCCCATTCTCCTACCCCCCGATCGTCAGAGGGAAATTGAGAAGCAAATATGTAGAGAGATCTCAAACAAACATTGGAATAATAAGCTTTTAATAGCAGGGGATTTTAATTGACTGGGACTGCCATAGTGTTGAAGGTTTGGATGGTGAAGAATTTGTTAATGTGTTCAAGAAAATTTTCTTTATCAATCTGTAAATGTTCCTACCAGAGAAGGAGCAAAACCTGACCTTCTCTTGGGAAATAAAGCAAGGCAGGTCACTGAAATGTTAGTAGGGACAACTTTGGGGACTAGTCTTCATTATACTACTAGTTTTAAAATAGTTGTGGCAAAGGATAAGTCTTCCACAAAAGTTAAAGTTCTTAATTAGAATTAGGCCAATTTTAATGGTATGAGACAAGAAATTTCAGAAGTTGGAGTAGACTGTTTGCAGGTAAAGGGATGACTGACAGTGGGAGGCTTTCAAAATTGTGATAATGGAAGTTCAGAGTCATTATGTTTCTCTTACAGTGAAAGGCAAGGCTGTTTAAGATTAGGGAACAATGGATCAATAAAGGTATTGAGGTTCTATTCAAGAATAAAAAGAATCATGCATTAGATGTAGACTGCTAAGACCAACTGAATCTCTTGAAGACTATAAAGAGTATAGGGGTATTCGTAAGAAGGAAATCAGTAAGGCAAAGAGGGAATATGAGAGAGCCTTGGTCAGTAAGTTTAAGGATAATCTAAAGAGATCCTACAAATACATAAAGAGCAAGAGAGCAACTAGAGAGAGTAAGACCCCTTCAGAATCAATAAAGTTGTCTTTGTGTTGAACCTCAGGTGATAGGAGGGATATTAGATGAACATTTTGCGTCATTTTACTGTTAAAAAGAAATGGAGGCTGGAGAACTCGGGGAAAATAAATACTGAAGTTCTCACACCTGTTCATATTTCAGAAGAGGAAGTACTGGAGGTCTTAGAAAACATAAAGATAGATATATCTCCAGGACCTGATCAAGTGTATCCTAGGACATTGTGGGGAGTTATGGAGGAAATTCCAGGGCCCCTAGCAGAAATATTGTATCATCTATAAACACGGGCGAAGGACTGGAGGGTGGCTAAAGTGGTGCCTTTGTTTAAGAAAGGATGTATGGAGTAGCCTGGAACTACGGGCTTGAGAGTCTGTCATCAGTAATGGGTAAGTTGTTGGAGATGATTCTGAAAGGTAGAATTTACATACTTTTGGACAGGCAAGGATTGATCAGGGATAGTCAGCATGGTTTTGTGTGAGGAAAATTATATCTCTCAAACTTGATTGAGTTTTGTAATGAAGTAACAAAAAGGGTTGATGAGATCAGTGTGGTAGATGTTGTTTACTTCGACTTTAGTAAAGCCTGACAGCAGATTCCTCATGGTAGACTAATTAGTAAAATTAGATCACACAGAATTCAGGATGAACTTGCCAATTGTATGTAAAATTGGCTATAGGAGACAGTGAATGGTGCTGGAGGGTTGTTTCTCGGACTGGAGGCCTGTGACTAGCGGTGTTTCACAGGGTTTGGTGCTGGGTCCACTTTTGTCTGTCATTCAGTTGGGAATATAGAAAACATGGTTAGTAAGTTTGTGGATGACACCAAGATTGGTGGTATAGTGAACAATGAAGGAAGTTATCTAAGATTACAAAGAGATCTTGATCAATTGGGTCAATGGGCTGAGGAGTGGCAGTTTGGATAAATGAGAGGTATTGCATTTTGATAATGGAAAGAAGGACAGGATTTGTATGATTAATAGTAGGGCCTTGGGTAGTGTTTTAGAACAGAGACATGGGGTTCAGGTACATAATTCCTTGAAACTTGTGTCACAGCTGGACAGGATGGTTAAGAAGGCATTATGATGCTTGCCTTCATTACTCCAACCTTTTCAGTATAGGAGTTGGGATGTCATGTTGAAGTTGTACAGGACGTTGGTGAGGCTTCTTCTGGAGTACTGTGTCCAATTCTGGTCGCTCTGTTATAGGAAGGATATTATTAAACCGGAGAGAATGCAGAAAATATTTACCAGGATGTTGCTGGGAATGGAGGGTTTGTGATATAAAAATAGACTGGAACTTTATAGACTAGGCTTAGGAGATTGAGGAGTGACCTTTAGAGGTTTATAAAATCATGAGTGCATAGAAAAGGTGAATGACAAGTGTCATTTCCCAACGTGGGGGAGTTCAGGACTAGGAAGCATATTTTTAAGGAGAGAGGAGAAAGATTTAAAAAGGACATGTGGGGCAACTTTTTTATTTTACACAGTGGTTCATGTACGGAATGAACTGCCAGAGAAACTGGTGGATGCAGATTTGGTTACAATGTTTAAAAGACATTTTAATAAGTCATCGAATCATATAGAAACAGGCCCTTTGGTCCACGCTGACCAGATATCCTAAATAAATCTATTCCCATTTGCCAGGAATTGACTCCTATCCCTGTAAACCCTTTGTATTCATATCCAGATGCCTTGTAACTCTTGTAATTGTACTAGCCTCTGGCAGCTCATTTCATACACGCACCACCCTCTGCGTGAAAAATCACCCCGTAGGTCCTTTCCCCTCTCACCTTAGACCTATGCCTTCTAGTTTTGGACTCCCCCAACACGGGGAAAAGACCTTAGCTATTCACCCTATCCATGCCCCTCACGATTTTATAAGCCTCTACGAGGTCACCTCTCAGCTGCTGACACTCCGGAGAAAATAGCCCTAGCCTATCCAGCCTCTCCCTATAGTTCAAATCTCCAAACCTGGCAACATCTTTGTAAATCTTTTCTAAACCTTTCAAGTTTCATAACATCCTTCCTATGGCAGAGAGACCAGAATTGCACACAGTATTCCAAAATTGGTCTAACCAATGTCCTGTACAGCTGCAACATGCCCTCCCAACTCCTATACTTAATGCACTGACCAATAAAGGCAAGCATACCAAGCACCGCCTTCAATATCCTGTCTACCTGCAACTCCACTTTCAAGGAATTATGAACCTGCACTCCAAGGTCTCTTTGTTCAATAACACTCCCCAAGACCTTACCATTCAGTGTATAAGTCCTGCCCTGACTCGCCTTTCCAAAATGCAACACCTCACATTTCTCTAAATTAAACTCCATCTGCCACTCCTGGGCCCTTTGGCCCATCTGATCAAGATCCTGTTGTACTCTGAGGTAATCTTATTCACTGTCCACTACACCTCCAATTTTGGTGTCATCTGCAAACGTACTAACCATATCTCATATGTTTACATTCAAATCAGTCATATAGATGCCAAAAAGCAGTGGACCCAGCACTGATCCTTGTGGCAAGCTGCAGGTCATAGGCCTCTAGTATGGAAAACAATCCTCCACCACTACCCTCTGTCGTCTTCGTTCGGGCCAGTTCTGATTCCAAATAGCTAGTTCTCCCTGTATTCAGTGTGATCTAACCTTGTTAACCAGCCTGTCAAGAGGAACCTTGTTGAACGCCTTATTGAAGTCCATGTAGATCATGTCCGCTCCTCTGCCCTCATCACGTTCATGAATAGGAAGGGCTTGGAGGGATAGGGGCCGAGCGTGGGCAGGTGGGACTAGTTTAATTTGGGAACATGGTCAGCTTGGACAAGTTAGACCGAAGTGTCCATTTCCATGCTGTATGACTGAGTTGATTTGAGCTTTTTGAGGAAGTGACAAAGATGATTGAAGGCAGGATGGTCATTGTTATCTATATGGACTTTGACAAGGTCCCTCAGTGGCAGACTGATACAAAAGGCGTTGTCATTATTGGATCTGCAGTGAGCTGATAAGATGGATACAGAGCTGGCTTAGTCATAGAAGACAGAGTAATAGCGAAAGGGTGTGTTTCTGACTGGAGTGACCAGTGGTGTTCTGCAGGGATCAGTGCTGTTGTCTGTAATAAATGATTTGGGTGGGGAAATGGCAGATGGAGTTTAATCCGACAAATGCAAGGTGATGCATTTTGGATGATTTAATGCAGGAGAGAAATATACAGTAAATGGTAGAACCCTTAGCATCAATGTACAGAGTGATCCAGGCATACAGATTCACAGTTCCCTGAAAGTGTCAACACAAGTGGTCAGAAGGCATATCGCATGCTTGCCTTCATCAGTTAGGGCATAGAATATAAAAATTGGCAAGTCATATTGCAGCTGTATAGAACTTCCTGCCAAATTTGGAATATTGTGCCCAGTTCTAGTTGCTACACTACCAGAAGGATGTGGAGGCTTTGAGAGGCTACAGAAACAATTTGCCAGGATGTATCCTGGTTTGGAAGCTGTTAGCTATGAAGGGAGATTGGACAAACTTGGCAGTTCTGAGGAAGGGTCACCGGACTTGAAACATTAACTCTGATTTTTTTTCTTCACAGATGCTGCCAGACCTGCTGAGCTTTTCCAGCAACTTCTGTTTTTGTTGGACAAATTTGATTTCTTTTTACTTGAATATCGAAGGAAATGGGGCAACCTGATAGAAGCTTATGTGATCGCTAATTGGAGCCTTTTTCCCAGGGTAGAATTGTCAGTTACTAGGACACATAGGTTTAATTCAGAAGGGGGTAAGTTTAAAGGAGATGTGAGAAGGTTTTGTTTACACAGTGGTAAGTGCCTGGCATATGCTTCCAGAGGTGGTGGTGGAGGCAGATACGATAGCAAAGTTTAAGAGGCATTTTGATTTTTTTTACGTGAACAGGCAGGGAATAGAGGGATACGAGCCATGTAGAGATAAAAGGTTTTTACTTTAGAAAGACAACATGTCGGTGCGGTCTTGTGTGGCCAAAGAGCATATTCCTGGGTTGTGTTGTTCTTTATTCAGAACACCAGTGCCCTCTTCCAACCACTGTGAACAACACTTTAACTCATAGCTTGTTTCCTCCTAACTAGTTCTTAATCCAACTTGCTATTGTCCCTTAATATTTTGAATAATCTTCTACATGATTACAACTGCACTTAACAAAAATGATTGGGCTGAGCTACATTTCCTTGTTTTTTGCCTGTGTTGTCATTACTGCGGGAATTGATGCAGACTGTGTTCCGTATGTAAATTGTGGGTTAAAACTCAAATCTCCGCTATGATGGTGTAAAGTATTCATTTTAGCACTTGGGGAGACTTGAGGGAAACTAGTCAACAACAGTCGGTTCCAATTCAAATCAAGTATACTGACAGTAGTGTTCGTGAATAGACATGTCATTTCTTCTCAGCAAGTATGTTGTTCTAATGAAGCGTAGGGTATAAAGGCTCTTAAAGTAAAATAATACCTGGAGCCAATCTTGAGTGCATCCAATTACTGTTCACCGTCCTTAAATCCTGGATTGATTTTGCGATCTGGCTTACTAATTAGTTTGGTCTTTTTATTTAGTTGATTGGTATAGAGATTACCATATTAAACTCGTGTGAGTGTGTTACTTACATCTAGTTGGATGTTTACTCTGTTAACAGACCTCAACTGTTTCAACAGGAATGTCCGAAATGCCATGTGACCATTGAAAAGGATGGTGGGTGCAATCACATGGTTTGTCGCAATCAGAATTGTAAAGCGGAATTCTGTTGGGTCTGCCTTGGACCCTGGGAGCCACATGGATCTGCCTGGTTAGTCTTTCAGTCCCACCACTCTTGTATATGAAGAAGTTTAGTAAGGTCAAAGATTTGAATTGTTTTGGGTACTTGGTTATGTAATGTAGAGCAATGCTATTATTATCTCTGTGACCCAAATTTGAATCTAGGCAAGACATGTGATTGGAGGTCTCAGTAGTAAAGGTGTTGCTTTCAGTATATAGCAGGTTAAGCTCTCATCCACTGAGGAAACATTCCTATTCTAAATCAGTGAAAGGGTTTTAGGCTGAAAGTTGCAGTAAAGAATTCTGACTAATCTGGCCTTATAAGGAAGGAGAGTGAACTTCTTGTAGATGTGGGAAGAAATTAATCAATGAATTCGAGTAATCCTTAGAAAAGTTCAGTAATGTTTCAGCTGTTCATGGTACTTCATAAAGGGAAATTTCTAAACTGGTGAAGAAAGCAGAGACGTTTCAAGTTAATATTTTACTTTGTTATTTTCTATTGTTGTTGAAGCAGAAATGAAACCATTTTTTCTCCTCCCTCTCTGCCATTTCTCTGTCCCTATCCCTGTCCTTCACTCGTCCTCTCTGTTTTTAGGTATAACTGCAACCGTTACAACGAAGATGACGCAAAGGCTGCCAGGGATGCCCAGGAGGTAAAGAAGCATTGGGGTTTTTGGACGAGTTTGGAGGTCCCTAGACTTAGCTTTGGGAAAGTGCTTCTGTTCGAGGCTTAGCCCTTCTATCTTTGAATTATGTTTCACACTGTCTACAAGGCACTTCTGAATAAGATTACAGTAGGTAGCTCCTGTTAAGGAGCTTGCTTAGGTCATAATGGTCTGACTAACTTGTGGGCTGTCATTCCTTTGATTCCTGTGAATTGATGTTAAGGTATATATTTTGATGTATTTTTAAATGAAGATAACATTTTTGAGGAGATCGTCATGAAACCATGAGGGAGTTATCAGCTTATCAGCAGACCTTGTGAGCTACATGTAGTATTGCTGTTGTGGAGATCTATTTGTAGTTTGTTGAGGGATTACCATGTCATTTTAGTGTTGCGTTTGCTTCAAGATGTGCAAATTGCATAACCACCTAGTTTATATTTTGAAAGTGCAATTAGAGCATTATGTAGGTACACATGGCAGTCAATATGTAAGAAGCTGTATGCATCAAGTAGCAGATTATTACTTGCCGTGTGTTAGATAGTCTAAGTTTCGGGAGGAATATTTGCTAGGATGCAGTTCTCAGTTCTGCAAGTGGTGCCGTGGCATTTTTTACATCCACGTGCTCAAGTAGACATTTTCTCTGCTGTCACATCTAGCTTTTTAATCACCTGAGTTTACATTTTCAAATAATTAATCTTGGGGAAGTGTGTTTCACTGGGGGGGAATAAACCCAGCATTTATTACCAATCCTTAGTTGCCATTGAGGCAGTTGTAGTGGTTCCTTTTAAACCAACCACTTAGATATGTTTTAGATTTGAACCCATAACTTCCTGACTCGAGTGACAGTATTAGCAAACTGCAATTTTATTTTATTTTAATATAAACAAATAAAGCTCTTGATTCTCTGAGACCTTGCTTCAGAGTCATTCATTTTAATACTAAGAAAGCTAGACTCTGTGTTTGTGTCTGCATCATAAACGTATGATAAATACATGACAATAAATTCAGTACTTTGTCTGATTTTAACTGAACTTGTGCCGTCAAACACTCGATCCAGTTTCAGAATCATCATTTATGTGTGACAACTGAAATTCCGACTGATTTAGTAAAAGTAGCCAAGTGTTTTGCTAGTACTCGTTTTGCCCTTAACGACAAAATAAAAAAAAAATTAAAAAATAAAAAAATATAAATTTTTGAAATGAAACTCACTTGACAATTTCAAGTCATTGGACTCTGACAGGAAATAAGAATGACAACTATTCATATTTTTGCACTGAGTGAAACAGTTGTCATAATTTTTTGATGGTACAAGTTTATTGATCAATTGTCTTTATTACTGTAACAATAAATATCTTTACTATTGAAAGGATCAAATGCAGGCAAGTGAGACTAGTTTAATTTGGGAAACTTTGTTGGCATGGACATGTTGGACCAAAGGGTTTTCTAGTAGAGATTTACAGGGAATACACAATTACAAGCAAGTTTCCTTGAAAGACTGATCCTGCTATACAGTAACGATAATGAGAAATAACAGGCAAATACTGCAATCAAGCTAAATAATGGAGTATTGTTGTATGTTGTTCCTGAGTATCTTATCCATGTCATGTCATCCAAACCATACTGTTTATGAAGCTTAATACTTTCTAACTAAACACTTGTGGGGATGAGGGATCAGGTTTTGGAAGATTTTATAAACTAAATAGAGAGGACAAGGCAAGAAATTGAGGTAGCAGTAAGGGAAATGATCAGAACCCAACAAAGGGACAGAGTTCAGACATAAAAGTGCAACAGCAAATAAAGATGGAGACTACAGAAGTAGTAGAAGTAGTGTGTTATGGTTCTACTTTAATGTATGTAGCATTTGTAACAAAACAGATGAATTGACATTCCCAGTAGAAATAAATATGTATGATCTAATAGAGGTATGACTACAAGATAATGAAAGTTGAGACCTGAATATTCAAGGGAGAATGACATTTAGGAAAAATAGGAAGCTAGGAAAAGGTGAAGGAGTGGTTCTGCTAATTAAAGAAGGCATTGGTACAGTAGACAGACGTTCTGGAGATCAGATATGGAATTGGTTTAGGTAGAGATCAGAAATTGTAAAGGTATGGGGGTGCTTGTGTGAGTGGTTTATACGTCACCTAACTGCAACCACATTTTAGGATTGGCACTACAGGAATAAATACTGAGGGCTTGTGAGAAAGGTTTGGCAATAATCATGAGTCATTTTAATCCATGTATAGATTGGATGAATCAAATTAGTAAGGGTAGTTATGTATTTGGCATGCTGCAGAATCAACCAAAAGGCAGACTGTAAAGAACAATATCTGATAACATTGTGAGTTAAGGTTAATGAAACATCTCATAAAAGTGCTCCTGGGCAGCGGTGAACATAATATGGTCAAATTCCACAAGTAATTTGAGTGAGAGAAGAATGAGTTGAAAAGTAGTGTTTGAAACTTAAATAAGGTGAATTTTGAGCTGGCTTCAGAGTTATTCAGAAAAGATACTTGTAAGAAAGAAACATCCTTGCCTTAGAATCTATTCCCTGTGGCTAACTAAGGAATCTAAAGCTAGTAGTGAATTGAAGAGAAAGCAAAAATGAATGACAATTCAGAAGATTGGACAGAATGTAAAAAGCAGGAAAAAAATGACCAAGATTAATATTGAAGAGGAAATTCCAGTAAGAGGAAGCTAGTAAGAATTGTAAAAATAGATAGGGAGTGTTTCAACAAATATTTAAAAAGCAAAACAGTGAATAATAAATTGAGAGTTAGTCCTCTAGAATGTTGGTCTGGGGAATTAATCATGGAAAATAGGGAAATAGATGAATTCAACACATACTTACATATGTCTTCACTGTAAACAATATCTGAGCAATAATTTTAAATTAGAGAAAAGGATATTGAGAAAATTAAAACCTGAGAAGTCTCCTGGCCCTGAAATACTCCATCCCAGGGTGTTAGAAGAAGTGATGACAGAGATAATAGATGCATTGGTTTTAATTTTCCAAAATTCCCTCTTCTGTAAAAATCCGATCAGTTTGGAATATTGCAAATATAACCTCACTCTTCTTTAAAAAAACAAAAAGGAGGAAGACAGAAAGCAAGGAACTAAAGGTTTGGCTAATGTCTATCAGTGGAAAATGCTGGAATCCATTATTAAGTAGGTTATAGCAGGGCAGAGGCAACATGTTTTTGTGAAAAGGAAATGTGTTTGATTAATCTGTTTGAGTTCTTTGGGGAAGTAATGAAAGGAAATGAGATAAAGAAGGATGTGTTGCATTAAAGGTTACGTGTAGAGGATTGGCTAGCTATTGGGAAAGCGGATGGTGAGCATATTTTTTTTTCCAGATTGGAAGATGGGTGTGCCACAGGTCTCACTGTTGAGGCCTGAATTATTCACAATTAATATCAGTTACTTGGATGAAGGGACTGAATGTATTGATGCTAAATTTCTTGATTATGCAAAGAAATGTTAGAAAGGAAATTATGAACAGGAAATCAGGCTGCAAAGGAATATAGATAGGATAAGCAAGTAGGCCAAGAATTGGCAGGTGGAACGTTAATATAGGGAAATTTCACTTTGTTGGAAAGAATAGAACAGCATATTATCTAAATAGAGGCAGGTTGCAAAACTAAGTACAGAGAAACTGGTACAGGAGTAACATAAAGTTGGTATACAGGAACAGTGATGAGGAAGACAACTGAAATGTTGCTGTTCATTGCAAGAGGAATAGAATATAAACATAAGTATGCTTGCTACAGTTGTCCAGGATGTTGGTGAGATCACAATTGAAGTACTGTGTACAGTTCTGGTCTCCTTATGCAAAGGATGTAAATACGTTGGAAGCAGTTTGGAGAAGATTTACTCAATTAATAACTGGGTGTGGGTGGTTTTCTTGAGGTAAGCTTGCTGCAGTTGGGTCAAACAATTGGCGTTTAGAAGAATGATAGCTGATCTTACTGAAACATAAGATCCTGAGAAAAGTTGATTAGGGTGGATGCTGGAAGAACGCTTCTCCTGTCAAGAGTGATGAGAACTCGGAAAAACAGTTTAAATATAAGGAGTTTCCCATTTAAGGCTGAGATTAGGTCTTTTTTTTACCCCTGAAAGTTGTGTCTTTCAAACTGTCTTCCCTAGACAGTGATCAGATATGGTCATTGAATATTTTTAAGGCAGAAGTAACTAAATTTTTAACTAACGAGATTCAAAGGGTATTGGAGGGAGGCATGAAGATGACAATTGGCTCAGCTGCGATATTACTGAAGGATGGAGCAGGCACAAGGTGCCAAATGGCCTACCCCTTAATTCATGTTGTATATACATATATGCTGTATTAACATTTGTCAAATCAGTTGCAAAAGTATTTCTTTATTTGAAAAGGTGAAATTGCTGCTATTTTTAATCCTCTGACACCATTTTCGGTTTCTACCATTTGTGCTTTTTTTTCACAGCGTTCTCGAGCGGCACTCCAGCGGTACCTATTCTACTGCAACCGTTACATGAACCACATGCAGAGCCTGCGGTTTGAGCACAAGCTGTACGCTCAGGTCAAGCAGAAGATGGAGGAAATGCAGCAACACAATATGTCTTGGATTGAGGTGCAGTTCCTGAAGAAAGCTGTGGATGTGCTCTGTCAGTGTCGCGCCACGTTAATGTACACATACGTCTTTGCTTTCTACCTCAGAAAGAACAACCAGTCCATTATCTTTGAGGTAGGCCTTCTTTACACTGAAAGCTACAAATTGTTGTCTTGAAAGTAAGACAAATCTGTTTTTCTGAGAAAATCTAGGTACTGACTAATTCTTACTCTGGAACATGTTGTGGTTTCAGGACGACAAACAACTTTCAGCATCAACTTGGCCTTTTAAAAGTCAGGCTGTATGATAGTTGTGCATGCAGGCTCGTGATTTGTATGAGCAGCAATAATTAGGAACTATCGTAAAATATAGCCAAATAGATCCTTTGCTTGAAGGTTAGTCTTTTAATTCATTTGTATGTGCTTCCAGATCTATTGGTAATGAAGAATCCTATAGGATTCCTAACTATCTACAGGCACATTGTATCATCTTATTACACAACTTCTGCACAGTCACCTTTTACAGTTTGTGCATTAACTCTCCATTGGGCATTTTTCCTTTGCCATTGTTGACCTAAGTCAAGATGTAATGCTTGTCCCACGTGACAGGAAAATTGCTTTCAATTTATGGTTGCAAGTTTAGTTTCAGATACTTGAGGTTTTGCATTTCCGGCAGCCGCTTATATTTGTGCCATGCCTTAACCTCTGTACGTTGAGCAAATCTCACGTAAACGTTTTTCTATTGCTGATTGTCATTACTTCCTTGTCATATTTGTTCTGTCGCCTGAAAATGTTACAACTGCTTTAGAAACTCCTTTTAACATGATGGGGCGGGTGGTGACTCAAAAACTATCCTCTGTTGTCCCAGGCTGTGTAGCATGCGGTATTCTGGCATCCCTTAATGTATCCTGGCATCTCTACAGGTGGCAAGCATGAAGACGGGGCCAAAAGTGTCTGCTTCCCACGCACTAGATTTGGTGCAGAAATGAACTGTTGTTCTTCCTCCTGGGGCAACTTGGTTCCTTTCTTTTACAGAATGAAGGCAGAACTATCTATTGCACTGCTATGTGTCAAGACCAAAATACATAATATCTCTGAATAGATGTCATGACCGTGGACCAGGAAGTTCCATATTAAGCAACAGCAGCTTACGTTTATGTTGCACTTTTACCATAGTAAATCATCCCAAGCTGCTTCAAAGAAACATTATCAAGCAAAGCTGAACCACCTCAGGAAATGTTGTAACAAGTGACCAGGTTGTAAGAGCTGCTTACTGGAATGAGGAATGTTAGAGGTTTAAGGAAAACATTTCAAAAGCTTGGGCTTTGGCAGCTGAAAGTAAAGTTGTCTGTGGTGAAGCAGTTAAAATCATCCAGTACTGGAACCTTCAAATACGGATCTCACTTAAACTTGGCCCAGTGTCGTGACTCACTCTGGGAGTAGTGCACTGGAAATCGAAGATGAGGGCACACTTACTTCTGCTGTCATTTCCAGAATTTTCACAAATGTGAAAAGATTTAATCAATCTACCACAAAGTCCTCAATTCACTTGAGTAACCTGGTTCTGCAATTCATATGGAAATAGCTGTTTATTATGAATAATTTGTCTTTAACCATTGACAATTAAAATATGAATTTCAAACTTAGAATTCTATAACCTAAACTCCATCCCTTCTTAACTTCTCCACTTCACAAACAGGTAGACACAAAGACATGGGTGGAGAATAGGAAAGACCACAAACTGGAAATGTTTCAATAACACTAGTCTGATCACATAATTTGATTGGATTTAATTACTTGCTTAGTTTCTTTTTAGTTCTTTGTGGTTAATACAAGCTTGTTCTTTCATTCACAGACAGTGAAAAGACAATATTAAAGGTGTTTTACTCCTTCACAGAGAAGACAGTTGGATGTTACTGGAACTTTTCCAGTGCTTCCACAAGAGATATTTCTTCGATGCTTTCCCTTTGTAGACTTGGTGGTTCCCTGTTGCACTGGCCTTACACAAGCCATGGTTACCTGGTCAGGAGCCAATCAGAACGTTACTGTCAAACAGATTTCCTTCACCTTCAATTCTGAAGCCATTGGCTTCACGTGTTTGCTTCTGCTCTCACTGTTCCTGAAAAACACAACATTGTATGAAATTGTCAGTGTGCTGTAGTAAATGTGAGTTTTAAAACTGCAGTCATGTCCTTTAAGTAGTCTCGTTGGTTTAAAGCAGTATTTTAATCTTAGTCTAAAGTCCAAGATTGAAGGGAATAGAAAGATGGGGTCTTTACACTAAGGATATGATGATAATATCCAATGTATATGAATACTGGATGGGGAAATAGGACCACTATTAAGTGGTACTACATGTTAACAGTCATTGTTTTTGTCACTCCTGTTTATGAATGAGGTTGTAGAAGCTTTATGCAATCAACAACATTCTAGGTGACCTTGAAAGGTATGAAGTCTCCATGTGGACAATTGTGTACAATTTGAAAAGTGTAAAGGAGAAAGCAATAGTAATATCTTTTGGTGTTGTAGGCACAGTACATTCTATATTGTATATTTCTTTAGTGTGCATTGCAGCATCAAGGTTATTTCCTATGTTATTTCCTAATTTCATAAACTTTGCTGTTATGAAGACAAGAGGAGCAAGATCATTGATACAGCATCATCTTGAAGTTTCCCTTTCCAAGTTATATATGAGTTTGTGTTGCTCCCATCAGTTTATCATCATGAAATCAAAATCCTGCAATTCTCTCATTAGGATTATTGAGCAAGCACTTTCCCAGCTCGCCAGAATTGAGTATTAAAAATGAACATTTGCAAGTGTTGTCAAATCAGCTTTTTTTTTTTTTTCCTGGCTATCATCACTTCTGAGGAAGGGTCACTTGACCCGAAATGTTAACTCTGATTTCTCTCCCCAGATTCTGCCAGACCTGCTGATCTTTCACAGCAATTTCTGTTTTTGTCCTTTGAATATAGACATTGGGATGTCATGTTGCAGCTATACAGGACATGGATGAGGCCACATTTAGAATACCGTTTAATTCTGGTCTCCCTGCTATAGGAAAGATGTTGTTAAACTTGAAAAGATGCAGAAAAGATTTACAAGGATGTTGCCAGGATTGGATGGTTTCAGTTATAGGGAGAGGCTAAATAGGTTGGGGCTATATTCCCTGGACTATCTGAGGCTGAAGGATGACCTTATAGAGGGGCATGGATGGGGTGAGTAGCCAAGGTTTTTTCCCCAAAATAGGGGGAGTCCAAAACTAGAGAGCATTGGTTTAAGGTAAGAGGGGAAAGATTTAAAAAGAACCTGAGGGGTAATTTTTTCACGCAGAGTGTGGTACGTGTATGGAATAAGCTGCCAGATGAAGTGGTGGAGGCTGGTACAATTACAGCATTTAAAAGGCATCTGGTTGGGTACATGAATTGGAAGGGTTTAAAGGGATATGGGCCAAATGCCGGCAAATGGAACTAGATCAGTTAAGGATATTGGTCGGAGCAGATGAATTGGACTGGAGGGTCTGTTTCCATCCTCTATAACTCTATGAATCTCATCTGTACAACCACTGCATGATATTTCTACTCTTGTTTAAAAAAAAAAACCCTCAACGTTACTTCCCTTCCTGGTGATGTCATTTTCAGAGCCTGGTCGTGTCACCAGGTATGTATTCATTTGCACTGAGCTCTGCAAAGAAAACCAAGCTTTGGTGTTTCTTCACCCTTGTTTCTTCTCGGTTTAGCTATATTTTTATAGTTCTACACACTTTTAATCCCAATTTTTATTTTTTTTACACTGAGATACTCCATTAAAGAATGCTGTTGCTTTGACTTTAATCAGCGAAAGGAGAATAAACTGTAAGGTGGCTAGACTTTAACATGGGAGCACAAACACTCAACTGTCAACATGCTTCCACACTGCAATGATGTAAGTGTTAAGATCCAAATCTGTTCCATGCAGTATGTGTGTTTCTCTTCCAGAACAATCAGGCAGATCTGGAGAATGCAACAGAAGTGCTGTCTGGCTATCTGGAGAGGGACATATCCCAGGATTCCCTGCAGGACATCAAACAGAAAGTACAAGACAAGTACAGGTGGGGCAAGATGAAATTAATGATTAATGCTGACAAATGATTTCTCTTCTCCCCCGAGCCCCTGTCCCTCCGCACCAAACATAGTGTTTATTTCAGGGTGAACTGTGTCCTTATGAAACCTACATAGGCTCTTAATGTATTCTTTTCAATTGAATGCGCTGGCACTTCCAACCTTGTAGAAGTAGAACCTTGGTCCTTGTATTGTTTTTGTCCAAAGGATGGTTGGATTGGTCAATAGAAAGCGAAAGTTGTTGAGGGGCCATAACAAATATGAGCAATCCAACTCCTTTAAACCTTCTATCCCCATGGGTTCACTTTTTTCCTTCCGATGTGTGGTATTAGGTATCCCATCATTGAGGATTAACGCACTGTCTTTTGATCATGTAAACCCTCATTGTTTTATGCTTGTTGTAAGCTTAACATTTATCAGTAAAAATGGTCTGTCATTCTGGTTGCTAGTGTCGAGGCTATCTGTAGTCTTGTGATGTGGAAGGATTTGCCTCTTTCAAGAGCCCTAGCATGGGTCACAATGAGAGTGAGTCCAGCCGTATTAAAGTATATACAGCTGAGGTAGTTACTTGTGAAAAGAAGGATTTTCAATTTCATAACGTCTCTCTCAAACAACTCTGTGCTTCAGACACAGATATTTAATCACAGAAGCAAATACAATGCCCGCTTATGTTCAGCATAATTCTCGAAACAGCAGTCAGTAAATGGTCAGTTGATCTGTTTTTGGTGATGGTGATTGAGGATGAATGTTGTCAGGGTAATGGAATCCTTAACATTAGCTGGTCATGCAGATGGTTTATCTTAGCGCTAGAGTTCTGTACACTGGTGTACTCTACGCTGTGTAGTAAAATAAATGCAAAAAGCTTGGAATGGGCGTGAAATCTCTTAACATTTGAATTTATCAAGTGTGCTGTCAACAGAGCCGAGCTGACACTGCTGGGCCAGAGTTTAAGTTGTGACCCTTGATCTCTCGATTAATGAATTGGGCCTGTTAAACTTAGATTTCAGCATGTGTTAAACAGTTAATGTTTGATAATTCCCTTGGTGTCTGGTTACTATAAAACTTATGAGTTTTGGATAAACTGTGTCTTGTCAATTGATGCCAGCACTTATCCCATAATCTTGTACCTTTATCTTTCTAAAGTTGGGATTTTCTGTGTCAATCTGTTTTACTGGTTGACTACCTATTCAGTATAAAATGTTGATCAAGAATAAGTGCTGATAATTGTCCAAGTAATCACATTTGTTGCCTCTATCTTGCCTTTTAAATACGATTTATTAACGTCTCTTTTTCTAACTTATTAAATAAATTTGAACTTTCTGCTTGCCATTACACACTCAAATTTTCGCATATTTAACCTCTACAATGACCTTTGTGTAGCCTGCAGCACACAGCATCTCTTTCCAGTATTTGAAAAAAATGTGAAGGGCCTTGTTCAAACCTATTAGCCACTCCTTCTCAAAGTAGTTAGTAGTTTTAATTATTTTTAAAACCTCCATCTGTTCACCTTTCCTTGCTTTCTTGGGCATGAGTTTGAAGTCGTCCACACGGTATTTCTCCTTTTACTAGCCACGTGCCAATGAAGGCCTCCATCTGGAATGTTAAACTTTTTATTTTGGATGGTTGACAAACCTGTTTTATTTTGATTGACTGTTCTGTCGTCTTTATCAGATACTGTGAGAGCCGGAGGAAGGTGTTGCTACAGCATGTGCACGAAGGCTATGAGAAAGACCTTTGGGAGTATATCGAGGACTGAGGCTCAGCTTACAATGAACTGTCAACCCGTTAGCAACAGAGTGCTGATGCAAATAAAGTGGGCGGCACAGGCCCTTGCAGACACTGCTGGAGTTCTACCCTACTTTTTGTTAATGGAAAGTTTAAGTAAATTATATTGTAATAAAAAAAGTAGATAAAACCACAAAATGTACAACAGTATTGTAAGTGGATGAAGGGTATGACACACTAAAAACCCTCCAACTTTAATCTGTAATGTAGCTACATTCTGAGAGCTGAACCATTTTCTGTTTCCTTTCATTTATTCATTTTTCTCTGTGTGTAGTAATTGAACTGAAACTGTTTTGACCTGGCTTCTCTTTTTCCAGCCAGACATTAATTGTATGTAGGTTCCCTGTTTGTGAATGTTGATTGGCTAACTGTAAGGCAGCGCTCTGGGGGATATCTTTGTATATGACTTTTAAAAGGAGGACACAGTATTTTTCAAATTGTATATAGCGCATATGCATGGTTGAGCGAGAGCAAGCGTGGCACGTGTTTGCATAATGTTTAATTACAAAAAATATTTATTCTTTAAAAACCTTCAAGAATATGTATATTTGCTGTGCAGTTTATTTAGGTTTGCTAACCTTTGACCTCAACGCTGTTAGTGGAATGTGAATTTAATTTTCTGCTTTTTTAAACAAAACAAGTTTTTACCTTGCAATTTTCCATAGTACTAGATGTAGACTCGAGCTGAGACCTGGTGGTGTCGAGTTTCCCCAATATTTACCTCCTTCCCATGCCCTCCAACCCCTTCCGCCTCAAAAAATCATTTGTCATTGCTGCTTTTCTACCCTGCTGCATCTTCCTGCTAATGACAGTCACCTCCAGCTTCAGTAGAAGCCCTCAGTACCTTCCATTTATTTGCTGTATGAAAATTTTTAAAAAATACCCGTAAAATTGTACAGAACTCGTCAGGTTATTAGAGCGGTACAGGTAGTTAACATTTGGAAGAGAACAGCACCCAGCGTGTGTGTCTGTCTGTCTCTCTCTTTCTCTTTTCTCCTCTTCTCTCTTTCCTCTTTGTTTCTTTTTCTTCTCTCTTTCCTCTTTGTTTCTTTTCCTTCTCCTTTCCTTCTCCTTTCCTTCTCCTTTCCTTCTCCTTTCCTTCTCCT